CCACTAGCACATATTGTCCTCTTTAGACTTTCCTTTTCAAGTGGTAGATATTGTCATATTTCGACTTTCCCTTTTGAGCTTTCCCTCTGCCAAAGATAGGTTTCAATACCCTTATAAAAAATGATTCGTTTCTCTCTCCAACCGATGTGAGATTTCACACAAGTCATCATGTATCGATTCTATATAGGGTGATTATTAGAGACATGCAGATTTTGTAATCTAGGACGGAGAAGGTCTCGTTAAAATAAAAAATCATATTTATTGGTTGCAATTTGCAAGAAGATTGTAATGTAAACGAATGGTCCACTCTGTCAGACCCTATGCTGCCTGCTTCCCAATTCTCCACTACTCATCCTCCCGAAAACCCTATGTATTATATACATTTATGACAGAGATTGCAGAATCTGAATTTGAACCGCCATGGACCTGACATGAACGAATCTAATCTATCTTATTAGGGTTTATACTCACATTAATTGGCAGACTAAAGTAAGCATTGTTGAAGGCAATAATAAGCATTTTAAGCATATCCTCCTCCTCCTTTCCCCATTTCAACTCCTCTGTTCTTAGCAGGGAAATCAGTGTCATGAACAAACCTGCTCCAGTACCAATGCTTCTTCCAAACTTGGCTCATTTCTTCAATAGGAATGCCCTTTGTCTCAGGCAAGAACAAGGCTACGAAGATGGACATGACCACAACAAAGAAGGCGAAGAATATGAACAACCCAAATTTCATATGGCACAGCATTGTCAAGAACACTTGAGCTATTACGAACGTGAAGAACATGTTGACTGAAACGTTTACACTTTGAGCAGCTGAACGAATCTCTAATGGAAAGATTTCACTCGGCACAAGCCAACCTAGAGGCCCCCATGACCATGCGAACCCTGCAACATATATGCAAATGAACAACACCACCACTATGGCATACCATTTGGGCAACGTATCCGGGTTCCCACTTACTCCAAATTTTGCTCCAATGGCTGCTGCCACAACCGCCTGCAAAAACCAGACACGATCAACATTTGAACTTCACGGTCTAATATCGGTTGAGGATTGTTGAGAGGATGTCCCACGTTGGCTAATGTAAGGAATGCTCATGAATTTATAAGTAAAGAATCCATGTTCATGAGGCCTTTTGAAGAAGCCCAAAGCAAATCCACTTAGAGCTTATGCTCAAAGTAGACATATCATACCATTGCAGAGATTCGTGGTTTCTAACATAGTATTGGAGCTATACTCTTAACTTAGTCATGTCAATAGAATCCTCAAAAGTCGAACAAAAAAGTTGTTAGCCTCGAAGGTGTAGTCAAAAGTGACTCAAGTGTCGAACAAATGGTGTACTTTATTTGAGGACTCTAGAGAAGGTGTGATATCCCACATTGGCTGGGGAGGAGAACGAAACACCATTTATAAGAGTGTGAAAACCTCTCCCAGCAAGTGTTCTAAAAACCTTGAGGGGAAGCCCGTAAGGGAAAGCCCAACCCAAAGAGGACAATCTATGCTAGTGATGGGCCTGGGCCGTTACAGAAAAGTCGAGCCTCGATTAAGGGGAGACTATTCGAGGGCTCCATAGGCCTCAAGGGAGACTCTATAGTGTGCTTTCTTTGAGAGGAGGATTGTTATCATGTGTTTACAAGTAAAAGAACATACCTGACATATAAACATTTGAACTCCACCTTCAAGGAAAAGAAACCTCCGTCCCCATTTATCGACACTGTAGATCGACACAACGGTAGCGCCGACGTTAACGAAACCAGTGATCACAGCTGACATCAAAGCAGCATTGCTTTCGAACCCAATAGTGTTAAAGAGAACAGGAGCATAGAACATAATGACATTGATGCCGGTGAGTTGTTGGAAGAAGGGAATCAAGATAGCCACACTCAGATGAGGTCTATATTTTCTCTTTAAAAGATTAGCCCACGGATTCTGCACTTTCTTTGACTCATCACTGGCTGCAACAAGATCATTAAACTCTTCATCAATGTCATCAACTCCACGGATTCTTTTCAGTTGCTGTCGAGCCTGGTCGTTGCGTCCTCGCTCGATCATGGAGTTCGGAGTGTCGGGAAGAATCAACGATCCAACAGAAATTGTAAGAGCAGGCACCACCGCGCCGCCCAAACTCAAACGCCATCCCCAACCACCTTCGATCTTCACGAAGAGATAGTTCCACACATTGGCTATCAAAATCCCAATTGTAATCGACAATTGGAAACCAATATTCAGAGCTCCTCTGTATTTGTATGGAGCCGTTTCAGACAGATAGAGCGGCACAGACTGTAAAAAACACCCAAAAAAAACAGCCCATTCAATGTTGGATTTGAATTAGGATCGGAATTATGTCGAAACAAGTTGATATGAACCAAGAGACATCAATCATACAATATGCTTCAATGAAGATGTGAAGAAAAGGCTGTCAAAATTATCAAAAGATGTTTCAATTCATGCTACATTGAAGAAGAATAAAGTTTGATTGTTGTAAATTTTGGGTGGGTTATAATTTAGAGTTATTGTGTTTTAAGACTTTTTATTTAATTTCGGTTATATTTAGGCTAATTATGGCCATAAAGTGTGAATGTTACAACTTTTAGAATGCTTTCATTTTGAGGCTATATAAAGCCATCTATGTTGTATTTGTAAGGAAGACTTAGAAGATATATCAAAAGAAGCATTTGTGCTTTTCTTTAGCCAATGGCTAATTTTCTTTGCAATTCTATGTAGTTTAGATTGCATGTAGAATCATTCAAGCTCGACATGATCAATCTTGCTTGTGGAGTGATTCGAATCTCAAACAAGTGTTCTTGCGTTGAGATATTTGATCAACAAGAATCATTCAAGCTAGACATGATCGATCTTGCTTGTGGAGTGGTTCGAATCTCAAACAATGTTCTTGCCTTGAGATATTCGATCAACAAGGTAATCCGAATCTTATTCCCCTTGTAGTTGATTCCTTATCTTATCACAAGTACAAGAGCCAAATGAAAAACTTATTCCACTAAGTCTACTAGTAATTCTCCTACTTAAGTTGGTTACTTATTCTACACCAAGTCAAGTTTATAAGCTCACAATCTCCTCCGTAAACTTGACTTTGTTCGAGATTCTTCACTTCCAGCAAGTCCCGCATCTCTGCAAACTTAACTCTTGCTAAGGTCTTGGTTAGAATATCTTCACGTTGCTCTCTAGTGCATACGAACTCCACAACGATTTGTCTCTTCTCAACACACTCATGGATGAAGTCGAAGCGAGTGTTAATGTGTTTGCTGCATCCGTGAAATACTGGATTCTTCATCAGTGCAATCGCAGATTTGTCGTCGACGTAGAGAGTTTTCGACTTTAGTTCATTTCTAGTCACTTCACTCAACAAATTTCTCAGCCACAATGTTTGACACGACACTGCAGTTTCTGCCATGAACTCGGCCTCACAGGAAGATAGTGCTACAGTTTGCTGCTTCTAAGATTGCCAAGAGATCAAATTTCCGTTGAAATAAATTATCATTTATGTGATGTTTTTTCTATCGTTAATGTCTCTAGCTAAATCACTATCGGTAAAATCGACTAGTTCTTCAGAACCTCGCCCTTTTTGATACTTCAACACATAGCTTGTGATTCCCTTTGCATAGCGGAGAATGTGTTTAACCGCTTGATGATACATTATGGTGGATTTTTCTATGTACTTACTCATTATTTCAAAAGCATATGAAAGGTCTGGACGAGTATGAGCCAAGTACCTTAGACTTCCAATGATACGCCTATACTTAATGGAACTCACCAAGTTTCCTTCAGCATCTTTCCCGAGTTGTAACTTTGCTTCCATGGGATACTTGGTCAGGTTGCACTCTACTATCTTAAATTGTTGCAACAACTTCTTAGCATAGGTCGATTGCTTTAGCATGATGCAATCTTTCTTTTGGTCCACTTTAATACCAAGGTAGTACGTGAGTAACTCGAGATCAGTCATCTCAAATTCTTTCATCATTTGTTGTTTGAACACTTTGACACCTTCCACAGTTGTACTAGTGACAAACAGGTCATCAACGGACACGCCAACTATGAGTGTTTCAGTCCCATTGTTTCTTGTATACACTGCTTGTTCTTGCAAGCACTTCATAAAGTTTAGACTCTTTAAGCTTTTGTCTAGACATATGTTCCATGCCTTCGGTACTTGCCGTATACCATAGAAGCCCTTTGACAACTTGTACACTTTATGTTCTTCGGCTTTGATGACAAACCCTTCAGGTTGGGCAACAGACACTTCTTCTTGGAGGTCACCATTTAGGAATGCTGATTTGACGTCCAAGTGATGGACCTCCCACCCGTGTTGAGTTGCAAGGGCAAGAATCAACCTTACACCGTCTAGTCTGGCCACAATGCGAAAACCTCCTCAAAATCAACTCCTTGTCTTTACACGTACCCCTTCGCCACAAGTCTTGCTTTATGCTTGATGACATTTCCTTCACTATTCTTCTTCAACTTAAACACCCACTTCAAACTGATGGACTTATGTCTAAGCAGTAAGTTAGTTAATGTTCATGTCTTGTTCTTCTCAGTGGCTTCAAGCTATTTTTGCATGGCCTCCTGCCACATCGTCTCAGTTGCTGCCCCATAGTAAGGTTGTCAACTCCTCGGCCGGGAGCAACACTAACTCATCAGGATCTAATTCTTCTTCAAATGTATCCGCATAAATTTCAGCAAGAGAACATAACTTCTTTGGTCCATCCTCTGTTGTGGATCCTCCTTTGCTCTCGCCTAAGCTCCCTTGCTCTAGAGAGTCCATCATGTCTTTCGATGTCACTGGTGATGACATGTGTGGATTTGTTGGTGTTGTTGTAGAAGCACTTTCTAGATCGGTTGCATCTTCCTCTTCTTCTAGAGTTAAGACTCTGTAACAATCTACTTGTTATCGCCAACACTGCACCAATCTTACTTCTTCTCTTCGAATATGACATCCCTACTTACATAAATAGGGAAGTGGGCAGGCTGGTCTCTAATAGTATCTTGTATAGGCGGTTATGCGACTGTTTTACCTTCATCAACAAAGTTCCATTTTATGTCGAACATCTTAAAAACGAGCCAACTAACTCCACTCTACTTCGTTCTTCCGTCATTTGACCAAGATTGATAATGTTGCTCTTCAAGTTTGGGATACAGTATACATTGGTCAGTAAACGTTGGTCGCCATTCTTGCACTGGAACAAGATAGATCCTTTGCCTTGGATCGGTACAATTGATCCATCGCCAAACTTCAAGTTTTCAATAAGCTTCTCATCAAGCTCCTTGAACTTTGTTCGATCTCCGGTCATGTAGTTGTTTGCTCCGTTGTCAAGGCACCACATGTTGGTCTCCACTCGATCTTCTCATTTTGTGAGAAGATTCGCCATAACCTTTTCTTCGTTGAGCATCAACAGGTTGGGCATCTTCTCGGCCAACATCAATGCGGGCTCTTGATCTTGCATGAGTGTGAGGTTTGCCTCCTCATCTCGCTTCTTCTTGCTGCATTCTATCACATAGTGCTCATATTTTCCACAAGAGTAACACTTAATCATACTTTTTGTCCTTCCAGGGGTTGACATTGTCATAGGTTTGTGAGGTATTGCCACGACCTCCTCTGCCACCACGTCCACGGCCATGTCCACGACTACGTTCACGACCTTTGTTTTCGTTGTTATGGCTGTCGCGTCCCCTCGTACTTGAAAAAAAAGAGTCAGCCACATCATTCTTTTTTGTTCGTGCAAGCCACTCTTCATGTGTGAGTAAGAGGTGTTTTTCCTCCTCTTTGTCTTCATAGCCACGAAGTCTCTCCTCATGGACCTTTAGACGACCAACGACCTCCTCAACTGACATATTCTTGAGGTCGCCGAACTGCTCGATGGAGGTAACAATTTGCATGAATCTTGAGGGAACTGCTCGAAGGAACTTCTTGACGACGAAGATCTCCTCCACCATGTCGCCTATTGAACGGATGCCGCTGACGATTATCGTCAACTTCATGGAAAAGTCATCTATTGACTCACCGTTCTTCATGCGGATAGCCTCGAACTCACTCTTCAAGGTCTGCACCTTTGCTTCCTTGACACATACATGCATTTTTTGCAGCGTCTCCCACATTGCCTTTGCCGAATCCTTCTCTGCCAACATGAGAAGAATGTCCTCCGGAACTGCTTGGTAAATGGCGGCAAAAGCCATCCTATCCTTACTCTCCTCAATGTCACCATGCTCGATGACGTCCCACACGCCTTGTGCTTGTAAGTTGACACGCATCTTGATCAACCATGCCGTGTAGTTACTCTTTGTGAGTAACAGGTATTGGAGCATTACACTCCCCTCCTTTCCACTCTTTATCATTGTCACTTCTCCTCTGGTGACTTTGAATGGTGATGACATTTGTTTCGGATCCTGGAAGCTCTAATACCAAATGTTGGATTTGACCCACGATGAAAATTACATCGAAACAAGTACAAGAGTCAAGGAAAAACTTGAGGGGAGAGAGCTTTTTGGACCTAAGGAAACCTTAATCCCCTTTTTAATTCTCTTGTTGTGTTGTTGGGAAGAAAGCATACTTTGTTTTCTAAACTTTTACTCATTGTTAACAACTATTAAACATCTTGTTAACTAAAGCATAAAATTTAGTGAACAGCTACAAAACTTGGTCCATAATTTAGCAACTACCAATTCTACTATTGTTAGTGAGTTATTTTACTAAGTCTACCGATCATTCTCAAAGTTACTCGATAAGTGAGTAAGTGAGTTATTTATTAAGTAAAGTTCATAAACTCCATTCAAAATAGAGTAATAAGAAATATCCACTCAACTTTGAAAAAGAAAGGAAACCCATTTTTTATTTCATGATTATGACATATAAACAACATAAATTAATGGAAAAAAACAACCCCAGCTGTGTTTGTCAAAATGTTTCACCATCGCTCTCTGTTTCTAATTTGTGGGCTCAAAACAGAGTAAAAAACAGAGGAAGGTACCTGATTGGCAAAGCCGATGCCAAAACCAAGCAAAATACGGCCAATAATAAGCATCTCAACGTTCTTAGCAGCGGCATTAATGATAGCACCGGCGCAAAACAGGACACCACCGAACAACATAGACAATTTCCTCCCAAATTTACGCGTCACCGTCGACGCAACCAACGACGACAACAGCGCCGCTAAGTAAAGCGACGACGTGAACAACGTCAACGTCACGCTGTCGTATTGACAGTACTGGTTCGTCGTTTGGTTCTCGTGCTTCTTTCTGAACACCGATGGGAAGAATTTCCTCAAGAACGAGTCCATGGAAGTCACCCCACCTACACGGACCGACCCACCAACACAAAATCAACAAAAAGAAAAACCCATTTAGCTCAAAACCAATCAAATAAAACTGAGGAATCCGTACCTGAAATCCCAATATCGTAGCCGAAAATCAGACCGCCCATGGCGGCAACGACACATGTTAAAGTGACATACAGAGTAAGGTTGCCGGGATACTCTTTTTTACTGCCGCCGACGGCGATTCCGACAGCCGTCATTTTGGATCAAGCTCAAACAAGAACAAGATGAGCTAGAAATTGAACAGCAGAAGGAGAGAGAGAGTAGCGACAGGGTTGGAGTTGGAAAATATTATTAATTATAGAGTAGATGGTCAACTTCAAGCAATAAATTATTGAAAAATAATTACGAATTATCGTAAAATATTATCTTAAAATATTATCAATATTTGAGCGTAGAACGGTAATGTTAGGAATTGAAGTAAAAATCTCTCATTAATTTTATATAGCGTTACAGACTTTCTGATGTTACTTAATTTGGTATAATTAAATCAAATTTAATTCAAATAACTCAATCCAATCTAAATCTAATAATAACTCAATCAAATCTAAATCTAATAATAACATGTAAATCGAGATTAAACATATGAGTTTTATAATTTAAACATCATTTTCTTTATATCTAAGCGTTGAAATTTTGTGTTTTTTTTTTAATTATTTTTTTAAAAAAATAATAATTAATTAATTTGATGATGGGTCAATACCATAAGCTTTTAACCCTCGAATATCAAGTTCAAGTTGTGAGATCAGCTGAAACATGCAAGTTGGAGGTGACTGGAAATAGCTCGTCAACGCCTGTCGAATGGGAAATTAAATATCAGACATTCACAAGTCACTGTACATCATCAACATCCGTTAGAATGGTAGGGTTAGTTTGCAACCCTATTTTAGGATTAGTTGGGTTGATTCAACCAAAAAATTGTTAACCTACCAATCGACTCAAATTTTCCGTTTTTCAAAAATTCAATAACTCAAACTGAGAAAAAAAAAAAAAACAAACTCAATGTTCATGGTTTGAGTTAATTAATTAAAGTTGGTTAGATTACCAAGTCATATTAATATCCATATTCAATATTGTACAACAAGAAATAAAATAGCACAAGTCAAGTCGAGAAAAAGAACCAGAAATAAAATAGCATAAGTCAAGTCGAGAAATAGAACGGAATGTGATGTTTAAATGTGAGCTATATTATGTGAAGTCTTTGTGTAGGTAGGCTCCACGGATATTAAAAAATAATTTATAAATACGAAAATTAATGTGAATGAAAGGAAAATAATAGTTTTAGTTTTGATATCATATGCGATACCCAAGTGTATTGAGGTTAAAGATGTGGAAGTCAAAGAAATACAGTTTGAATTTTCTTGGTTTACTTTGAAAATGTATTAAAAGCTTAGCATATAACATTGTAATTACTTCTATTTTGTGAATACAAGTCTAAGCCTAGTTTGGTGTGGGTTATGCCTTTTCAAGTTTGAAAATTTTTCAAGTTTTTTTTTTTTTTTTTTTTGTTTGTCGGATCTAAAGTTTGTAATTATTTGTGTTAAAATAAGGTGATATTCAACTCATTCATTTAAGAGTTTTTGCTTGTTTATTCCTATAGTGATACTCAACTCAAACTTCAGTTTAGTTATGATATTTTGTTCATAGGTATATTAGTTAAGTTATGTGAGATGCTATGGTTGGAAAGGAGAACAAAACATTACTGGTGTAAAAACTTCTCTCTAGGAGAGGCGTTTTAAAACTTTGAGAGAAAATCCAGAAGAGAAAGTCCAAAAGGACAATATTTAAAATCCAGAAGAGAAAGTCCATAGAAAGTAAAGTAAACTTGAAACTCAAAAGAGGAAGTTCAAAAGGACAATATCTACTAACAGTAAACTTGAGTTTTTACAAATAGTATCAGAGCTAGGTTTTCGGGTGGTGTGCCAGCAAAGACACTGACCCCAAAGGGGGTGGAATTGGCAAGATCCCACATCTTGCGGAAAAGGAACAAGAGACAGCGAGGATGCTAGGCCTTGAAAGGGGGGGAGTGGATTGTGATATCCAACATTAGTTGGAGAAGAGAACGAAACACTCTTTATAAGAGTGTGGAAAGATTTCCTTAACCGCTCGAAAGGAAAAGCCTAAAGAGGACAACCGAAAGGAAAAACCTAAAAAGGATAATATCTGCTAGCAGTGGACTTGAGCCGTTAGAGTAGTGATGTCACAAGAGAATGCAAAGTCATCGAGTTGTTTCAACATTCCAAATTCTTATCCTAATTTTTTCAAATTTAAGCACAAAAATATCATATTTATGTGAGGGTTTCACACTCATTCATTCACACATCTATCAATCGGTTGCAATTTGCAAGAAGATTGTAATCTAAACGAATGGTCCACTGTGTCAGACCCTATGCTGCCTGCTTCCCAATTGTCCACTACTCCTCGTCCCTAAAACACTATATATTATATACATTTATGACAGAGATTGCAGAATTTGAATTTGAACCGCCATGGACCTGACATCAAGGAATCTAATCCATTTGATTAGGGTTTATAATCACATTAATTAGTATACTAAAGTAAGCATTGTTGAAGGTAAACAGAGCATCCATTCATGCAGTTACATCAATTTTTGTTGATACTATAAGAAACTGGCGAAGTCTGCCACAACAAACGGGATATAGAAAAGGAACTTACAGAAGAAAAATACAGCACGTTCACTGTCGTTTCAGGGTCAATGTCCGAAGATGGCAGATGGGCAGATGCTTGATTACAACTCCTCATCTTCCCCTCTGTTCTATTCAATGTCTTCTCTCCCCCCATGTGCCTCTCTTTAATGGATTAGCTCTTTAAGAATGATTAAATTAGAGCTATGTTCGGAATCACGAATCTTCACAATGGTATGATATTATCCACTTTTAGTACAAGCTCTCGTGACTTTGCTTTTGGTTTTTCAGTAACCCGGAGATGTATTCCTTACTTATAAACCCATGATCATTCTCTAGCTAACGTGGACTCCCTCCTAACGATCCTAATACACTCTATGTTTTTTGAGTTTTTGAAGGAACAATTATTGCGAATCAAATCAGGTATGGATTCAATAAACAATCATGTAAGAAGAAGAGATGGGTATTAACAAACAGGGAGATTAGATTCAAGTATGCCAGATTCCATTTAACAGACTACGAAATTTGTTTGTGGATAATTTCCTGATGAGCTTTTTGGCATCATAAACTTCAGATTCTGCAAGTTTTTCGATGTTTTTCATATACCCAGAATTCACAATCTTCCTTCTTCCACTACTACTTCCTGTTAATGAGTTTAATATTGAGAAGAGGAACCTTTTGTTACCTGAATTTACCTCCTCTGTGTCGAGCATTTGAAGAAGCGTCTCCACATTTCGATTGTCCTGAGCAAATCTCTTCCTGTTCTTGGGGATCATGACCATCGCTGATAGAGCCTCGGCTGCCATTTCCCGAACTTCAAACGACTTTGCACCAAGAAACTTGACGAATTCTGGCATGAAACCTCCATCCCCCATTGCTTTTTTGGCTTCCTCTGATGTCTCGCTTAGCTTTACTGCAACTTTCAGAGCTATTCCTTGAAGAGAAACATCCCCATTTCGTAAGAAATGAAGAAGGTTCTCCATGAATCCGTAGTTTATCAAGATATTTACATAATTAACTGATGAGAAACAGATGTTTTCAATTGCTTGCATCGCTGCCTCTAGGGTTTTGGATGAGGAACAAGATTTTGGATCCAAAACACGAACTAATCCCCGAATTCCACCTTCTTTAACCAGCAATTTGTTTACTGATTCATCCCCATAAGCTATGTTTTGGAGAAAAACGATGGAGTTTATCTGTACAGAGTCCTCTCTAGATCGAGAGAGCCTGATGAACGTTGAAATTGCTCCTTCTTCGATCATAAATCTCTTAATTTCTTCAACACCAACAAGATTGTTTAAAACCCCACACGCAGGACTGATCAATTCTGTTTTAGAATCAGAATTGGAGCAGATTTTTAACAGAGCTGTCACTCCGCCATGAGCAGACACAGACCAAGCATTTTCAGAATTCTCAGTGAATTTCATCAAACACCTTGTGGCTATTTTCTTCCCCACCGCACTCCCACATTCCATAACCCTAATCAATGGCGCAATTACTCCATTCCCGACTAGAACTGCTTTATAAGAATCAAATCCAGAAATTATATGAAGCACTTGCAACGCCGCTTCTTGAAGTTCCGTCTCCGGAGAACCAAGAAAATTAACTAGGAGATTCACTATCTCGCCGATTTCGATTATCACTTTCACATACTTTTCGTCTTCAGTTACAGCGGCAAGAAGATTAACGAGAGCTTGCCTCTTCAGATCTGAACAACCAACCTTCATTCTCGTTACAATATCCCTCACATAAAACCGCATATCATCCTTACAAGCTCCGAGGCCAGGCCTAGAAACGACGATAGCGAAGCCTTGCGACAAAATGCCTGCAGTATATATTTCCGAAAGCTTCTTCGCATGGCGGTCAAATTTCGCACAGATTACATCCAAATCACTTTGCATCAATAGCTTCCCACTGAAAGAGAGGTCAACACAGCGGCGAGCGAGATCGTCGCATTCCGTAACCGTTCCAATAATCTTCCGGATTAAGTCTGAGATTGCGGGAGTTTCGTCGGAATCACAGTTATCGGCCGCGATTAAGCCGGAGTTTAATTCTTCAAGCTTGTCACGGATTAATTTCCATTTGGAGGCAAATACTTTAACGGAATGAGAAAGAGATATCAAGGAAGAAATAAGTAAAATTACTTGCCGGAGACTGGGCTTGTCGAGTGCGACATCCGGTGAGTTCGTCGGGTCCGTTTCCGCAGGTCTGGGATTCCGTTCTTTTCTCATTTTAGTAGTCACTGAAAACGGAGAACAATCATTTTCCGGCGAGATGGCGGTGCAGGCCCCGGCGAAGAATCAGTTCTGTGGAAGCAAAACGGAAACTCCGCGATACAGAGCTACTTATCAAGATTGCAGGTCTGTGGTTACTACAGGCTTTCCTATGTCTTCTTTTAACAGAAAAATAAATAACTATATTTTAATTCAAAGAATTAAAAATCCAATATCATATTAATTAAGGTCAAAATTGGAAAATACTCCAAATTTCTTCTTGCACCTTAGAATTTAAAGGAAGGATTTATTATTTTTTTTCTGCTTTGACCAGTTATGTATAGCCGTTAGTCTTACGATTTTAGAGCGTCTTTGATTTTAAAGTGC